TAATTTATTAAGCGTGTTCATCTCTTTACCCCAGGTATCAATTAAAAACATATGCCCCGGGGAAGCAGAGCCCTATGGTAAGTCACAGGAGAATGATTTTTAAAGTGGGTGGATTTTAAATTCGGTATTTAAAGACATATCATGAGTGCATTGTAAAATGCCTCACTGAAATACAGATATGATTTATCTGTGATATTTTCCAGCTACTTCAGTCTGTGCTAATTTCTTCTGAGTGAACCCAAGCTGGCTCCCAGTGATCTTACATCCTTTCCTCAGTATTTATAAATCATGTATTTCATCATTCAGTTTCATCTCCTGCCTAGAATTAATTTCAAGCTCGCTTGCCTGTATTAGAAATAACTGTAGCCCTTTCATCTTTCATGTAACTCAAGGAACCTTGTCNTGCATTAATTAGGGGCTGCCTAACTGTTCCTTTCTTAGGACAGTGTTCTCTGACCTTCTAAAGTCCACATTGAATGTCCCCCTTTTATGCCTCCTCAGCACAGGGTGCTTCCCATCGGAAAGCACTTATCACACTAAATTGCACTGTCTTCTTCGACCTTTGCGTCTTCCGTCAGATGCTAAGTACTGTAAGGTCCCTGACCATGTTTAAGCTGTTCATAAGCATATCCCAAAACACCACACATGCCCCAAGCTAAGATGTTATTTTTCCTAAGGAAGTTGCCTCTTACCCCATATTTGAGAATATTAAGGAGCACTTCCCCTATTATTTTATATGAAAAATGAAAATAATGTTAGGTCTGAAGTGATCTCAGTCAGTGTTGGTTTTGGCTGTTTGAACAGTTCACTAACATAAGTTTTTTTTAAGGTGAAAAAAAAAAATAATGCCGGAGTTGATAATCATGCCTGAGGATTTGATCTCAAGATCATAAGTATTGGAGGTAATCATACACAGGCCTTTTAAGAATCATTTTACAAGAGCAACACTGCAAGTGGTTATGTTTTGAAGATGCCATTTCTACAGCTTTGGAATGGATGGAGGAATAATTGTTCTAATGCTATGGAAATGGCTTCTTGTGGTTTGGGATGCCCATCTATAGCTTCGAAACAGCTGCATTTCTACTGAACAGGATGAGAACATGAAGTGCTCTGAGAAATGGTGGTAAACATGGCTGAGAAATGACTCACGTGAATACACAGATGCTGATGTTAAGAAGGCATGTGAAGATTGTAAGTGCAATTGCTACAACGTGAGCATGGAAAAGAATATTTCTTAATGAATACATTCCTTATCCTTTATGTCATTTAAAAATGCTTCTGAGTCCAAGTTAACAGATTACATATTAAAAGTAGAGTTTAACTAGTTTCTCAATATCTCTAAAAGTTATTTTTATACTTATATATCAGCTAAAAAAATGTCTTGGGGATTTTGTTGTTATAAATATGGAAGATGACAGTATTTAAGGAAATACCATATATTTAAAGGAAACACATATGTTTGTTGCCTGTTGGTTCAGCGAGCACTATGTTGGCTAATACAGGATGCAGGACTGTAACGTTTGTCCTTTGAATGTGTTGTTCAGACTGACTGACTCACAATCTATCAGACTCAGAAGAACCAAGCCGTGCGGTAGTCAGAGCCACAGCAGTTGCAAAGGCTTGCCTTATCCCATGAATGTCCCGCTTCCACCCCCATCACCCACGCACATGGGAAAAAGAACACTTTCCCATGTCACTCATGACTTCGTTGGTAGCAAGAAGGCCCAAACCAAACTGAATACACAAAAAAGGAAGTGATGACTCAAGGAAGTGAAAAGTCTGGGGACATGACCACTTTCAGCCCCAGTTTTATCAGGGCTCTGAAGATGTTACCAGGACTCCTCTGTCTCTCAGCTGTGTTCTCTCTCCACGTGTGGCCCACCCTTGGACAGACCCTCTTCACATTGAAAGAGTGGGTGGCATCTCCAGGCTTGACATCCTCTGAGCTCAAGTCCAATGGGAACACACTCCTGCTCTGACATCACAACCTCTGTGGATCTCCTCTGCTCTGGATGGATCACGGTCACGTGACTACCGTGTCACCATGGCTGGGAAACACGCTCACGGAACATCCTGAGATGAGGATGAGGAGGGCTTTGTTCTTCACACGGAGATAGCATTTCAGCAGTCTGAGGAAGAATAACTGGACATATGCCCCCAAAACAACAGGTGTCCACTCCATTTTTATATATGTTCCCCACTTTGACAGTAGTCTATGTTAATTGTATATCATTCGGAACAATGGAAAAAGAAAAAAAAAGGGGGGGGAAAGCATAGCATTCATAACCTCATCTCTCAGAATAACATTTTGTCATGCTTCATCCAATTGTTTTTTCTATTTGTGTAATTTTTATACAGTGACAATCAAATATAGTTATAGAATCTGTGTTTTTACTTACATTAGATAATAAAAACTATAGCATAGTGTGAAGAACCTTTCATAAATGATTTTGATGGCTGTATTAAAAAGCATCATATTTTATGTAACTGTTTTCATCTCTCTCGTGTGGATCCACCCACCTGTACTTGAGCTCTGAGGTTGATCCCTGTCGTCCTGTCCTCTATCCAACCTTTGGGGATGCGTTTGACCTCCACATCGTTTTTGGGACTGCACCGTGGCCTAGCCCAGCTGCCCAGGGCACAGCCGCAGCACAGTATGCTGTGCTAAGATGGTTCTTTCTGACTTGGGCTGCTCCTGGTATATCTGCTGTCTGCTGAGACAAGATTAAAAGGTGGCTAGGCCCCTGAACCCCAGATCGCCAGACCGTCTCCTTCCACAGCCTGTATGTGCAATAGTGATGTGCTCATTTCTTTAAAAAGTACACACTGAGCACCTGTTATGTGCCAGTCATTACACCCCTATGGGGAACATAAGAGCGAGCAAACACCTCTATCTTCATCTTGTTTGTAGCCTAGTGAGAAAGACAGACATTAATCAACAGTAAATAGAAAATTACCACTGGGATAAGTGTGGTGAAGGAGAGCGACATGGGATCTGAGTGGTTGTAATAGGGGGATTTGATCTACTCAGCGATGGTTTGGGAGGAAGTGGTGATTAAATTGAGATCTGAAGGATGAGTGAGCAGTAACTAGCAAAAGTGGTGAGGTGGAGAAAATAATTCATGAACACAGAAAAATCTCGCCATTCCTTGACTTTCTGACTTAAAATTCTATTCCTTCTCTGGCACCTTCTGTAAAATATGTGGTCAGGGAAGACTTCCCTGAGAAAGTGGTGTTTGAACAAAAACCTACAGAGGTTAGTGAGAAAGCCCCAGGTCTAGGGAAGGAGTGGCACAGACAGCAAATCCGTGCGAAGGCCCTGTGGTTGGCCCCATGTGTCCCAGGAACAGAGCAGGAGGCCAGTGGCTGAGCAGTGGCCTCAGTGAAGGGACATCTGTGAGGAAAGTTCAGACTCTGAAAGAGAGGGGACGTGCAGGTCCCTTGGGTATTTATAGTCATTATAGGGTTTGTAAAGAATTTGAGTGTTCAGTTAGATGCAATTGAATTTGAGTGAGATGAATAAGATGTAGAATGACAAAAAGGTTTGAACCAAGTGACTTGATCTGACATATTCAGAAGAAATAGTCTGGCTGTGTTGGGAAGAGATTGTATAGAGTGAAAGCTGGGAGCACAGTGATGCTCAGAGCATATTTACATCTCTATTTTACAGAGAAGATACTGAAGCTCAGAGATTTTAACCTGACTAAGGCTGTATGATGCCTAGATTTGACTTGAACTTGAGGTTAGCTGATCCTTAAGTCCATGCTCTTTCTACTACGCTAAAATAGGTGTATTTGTGTGGGGAGGGGANCTCTCTCTCTCTCTCTCTCTCTCTCTCTCTCTCTCTCTCTCTCTCTCTCTCTCTCTCTCTCCCTGTCAATACCTTATATAAAATGAACAGAATTACATTCACATATTGAGAGCTATTTTATAGCGGTTGTCTTACAATTTTTTATCTTGACATGAATGTTAAAAAACATAAGATGAACCCCAAAGGTACTAATTTGGAAAACAGGTGTTGTCATTTCATGACATAGGTATATTATGTAATCTTTGATAAGAGAAAACCTAGAAAAACTTGAGTGGATTTATCTCGTGCTAAAATATTTCAGAAAAAGAGTCACTGTCATCTCTGGTTTTGTCTGGTCATGAAAGCTGAGCCCATGATTTTGACAGAGTTGGACTGTCTATCCCAAATCACTTAATAATTTATAACTATAATAGTATATTAAATTAATACATTACTCCATTATGAAAATAAGGTTTGTATATACAGTGTAAATTCATGGCACGACAGTAGGGCTTATGCAAGAATGTCATGAGAAGCAAGAATATAAAAGGGATTTCCATACAGGCTGAAGTCTAGACAAACAGGGAGTCACTGAAACTAAAAAAAAGGGCACACGTATATAAGACTTAGGCTGCTTTTTAAGTGTCATTGACTCATATGCCAGAGACCTGAAAAGATTCAATTCAGCCTGTATCAAAACTTATTGAACACACCCTTTAAAACAAAAAACAATGAAATAGCTTATCCACTAGCCATTTCCACTGTCCTTTGCTCCTTTTTAACTGGGCTAATTTTGGGCCAGTAGCAAATCTCTTGCCTCTTTGCTGCTAAGCCGTCCTCGGTTTTCCAGTCCAAGATAGTTTCTAGAGGGTGGAGTGTGAAAAGAGAGCTGCAGAACCCCCAGACGCTCACGCATTTCACTGGCTCCATTGACAAAAGTGACTTCCCACGCTTTGCCCACAGAGGGCATCCCTGCTCATTGATATGTAGACCAGGCGAATGCAGCCGCTAAGAGCCTCCTCCGACCGCTCTTTTTTCCCTTCGCCGTCATCCCTCGCCCCCCCCCCCCTCCTTCCCCTGGAATCTTTGCCTGATCCAGTTCGTTCCCCTCCGGTCTCCACATTTTCCCTTCCAGCCCTCCACTTCTCCGGATCAATGGATAGTACGGCTCCAACTCCCAGCTCACACACCGCGGGCGGACACCCCAGTAACAAGTGAGAGCGCTCCACCCAGCAGCCCCCCGGCTCTCCTCCCTCGGTCCCTTCGGCTCTTGGAGGAAAAACGAACAGCATCCCCAGTTCTCGGGGGATTTTTTTTTTTTTTTCTCTTCAACTTTACCCAGCCGAAGACAGGGAACCAGCCTCAACCTTTTCATGCACAGCCCAGCCATAGGATTGCTCCCTGCCTCCTCTCGGTCCCTCCTGCATATTCTGTTTATTGATGACTCCCAGGCCCGGTGGAGAGCTGTCTTCCCTCCTCTGGCCCGCTCTGTTTCCTTGAGTTAGTTTTCCAAGGTTTTCACGGGGGGGAGCTTGGCATCTGTTGGACTGAATGGAACTTTTTGCTGCCTCCTTTTGCTGCTGATTTGGTCAGTGGACGCGGAGAAAGGCTTCGGAGGCAGAAGAGGCGCAGCGGAGGTGGAGGAGGAGGACGGCGAGGAGGAGGAAGCCGAAGGGGCTCGGCGCGAGTGTGTGCATGTGTGCATGTGTGCGTGTGAGTGCATGTGTGTGAGAGCCGCCGCTGCCCAGGACCCCCGGCCCCGAAGGTGTTGGCTGAAATATGGAGAATAGTCTTGGATGTGTTTGGGTACCCAAGCTGGCTTTTGTACTCTTCGGAGCTACCCTGCTCAGCGCACATCTTCAAGTCACCGGTAAGAGGTTCTTTCCTTTCTTCTCCTCGTCCTCCACACCTCCCACCCTCTTTCCTTTTCCTTCTCTTTTCATTTGGCGAGTGGTACGGTTGGGGTAGAGGGAGAAAGAGCAAGATGTTCGGAGCTCTGTGCCCCATTTCCTCACCAATGATAAAAGACGGGGAGACTTTTTTCCCCCCCTGGGGGTGCAAGATGTTGGTGGCAGGGGAGGCGGGCGCCCCTCCGCTCTTTTTTTAATCTGGTTCTCTTGCATCCTAGCTTTTGCCAATACTTGCCTTGATTTGGAGAGCTGGCGGGCTGGGGCAGGGAGGAGGCAGGTGAGGGGATGTCGTTGAAAGGAACTGGGTTGCATCCTCAAAGCCTCGGAAAGCCACGGGTTGGGGTAACAGGGCCGAACGGAGGTCATGGAAGGGGGTCTGGGGAAGTCTGTGCGGAGTGTGGGCTGAGTCGTTTGTGTGGCTACATGCGTCTCCGTTGGGGATTTCTAGACTTGCTGGTTGAGACTCGAGAAAGGGACAGCTACTGTGTTTGGTACTTCGGAGGAGGGGGCAGTGATGCTGGAAAGAGGCGCTGAGTTGCTAGGAAGAAGGAAGCGTGTTTTGTTTTATTTTTTAACGGTGGATTCAGTTCGCATGCTAAGTCTCCACATATCTCCAGGACAGTTCCAAACTCCAAATGATTGATATTCCAGGCAACCGGCCCCCTGGCTCTGGCGCTTGGCAAGCGCAGTTTTTCTAATTAAAAATGGCAAAACTGTTTGGGGAATGGGTTGGGTTAGAGCAGGAGAAAGAGGAATCTGAGGGATGCTTGGGGCTGCTGCAGTCTCCGAATATGGAACGGGGGCATCGACGGCCAAAAAAAATTTTTAAAAAGAGTAAAAAGCATCATTTTCATATCCACTCGTTTTGCCGGGCCTCACCACAAATGTAGGTGGGCACTAGGGCGCAGGGGTTGTTGGGCCTGGCGGGGAAGGAGTGGAGAACAGCCGGCCGAGCATTCAGATCCCTTCGGAAACGACCTTTTCCCAAATCCCAAAGACAACGAGCCGTCGGCAGGGGCCAGGCGTTGGGTAGGAGGACCCGAACCAGCCAGCGCCTTGGAAATTAACGGGGGATGGAAGGTAAATGACGGCCAAGCCCCCAGCTGCCCCTGAGCCTGCAGCTCCGGCTTTCTTGTTCCTGCTAAGTGCTGCATGGCCCAGGGTGGCGGATTCGAGCGGAGAATGTGCCTCTCCAGGTCGCTAGGGATTCAGACAGCCAAGCACGGAAGCAGCAGGAGGCTCTCCAAATCCTGGTGCGGCCACGAGCTAACAGGAATCTGGGCAGCCACACGGACCCCCGACTCCTCACCTTCCTTCTGTCAGAGCGAGAGAAAGAATGAGAGAGAGAGAGAGAGAGAGAGACAGACAGACAGAGAGAGAGAGACAGAGAACATGCACGCGTGCGCGTGTGGTGCATGAGTACCCGCATCCCTGCGCTCCGCGGCCCGCTGCGTTGCCACCCTCCCTCCCTCCATCTCCGGCCAGGTCCCCCCTCCCGGGCTCCTGTCTCCCGGAGCTTTGTCCTCAGCAATTACTCCCTCCGAAGGTGGGCGGGGGTCATCCGCGAAATAATGAATAGCTGTCTTTTCAAAATTCCCCGCTTGTTACCCACAGAGGCTAGGTAGCGAGCAGGACCCTCCTTCTGCACAGAAGATGGACTTGCGGAGCTCCCTTGGGCAGTTTGAGAGGCGCCACAGAGGGGAGAGGGGAAGTTCAGAGGGGGCATCCCTCGCTGGGTAGCAAGTCTACTGGGCGGGGCTTGAAATGAGTTGGCTGAAAATATTGCCTTAGGCAAGATGTGCAAGAATAGACAATGACGTTTTATCTATTAAACTAAAATATTTTAAAGCCATTTCCCAAGTGACTTTGTCTGGTGAAGGGTGGAGGTAAATAAATGGAGATGGGTTTATATATGTTTTACTAATACCTAAATTAATTGAATATCCCTCTTCCCACTTAAGTTTATTTGTCTACAGAGTGACGGCCACATAGTACTGCTTTATTTTCATTTCCTCATCAACAGACACGTCTGTGTTTGAAAAGGCAGACAAAAATAAGCATAGACAAGGGATATGCCTGTGGATTGGCTTGTGGATCTATCTAAAACTTCAAGCTTCCCATACTTCTAAATTCATTCTGTTTGTTTGCAAATGGATGGTGATATACTTTGCACAGGTCCCAGGAAAGTGGATGGTGCTATTTTGAGATACTGTTAAGTCAGATCACTCTGGTCTTCGCTCATTAACCGGCTTCTCCTTTATCTTAGTAGCAATTTCCCCTCTTTAGGTACATGGCAGGGAATTGATGCTGAAGAAAGCAGAGTTCATTCTCTGAAAGGACCAGTAGGAGGTGCCCTTAATAAGGCCAAGTGTCTCCTTTACTGACAGTGAAACCCCCATTCAGCAGGATGTTTTAAAGACTTTGTTGATGGGTAACAAAGGATTACTTGCAGTAGCGCTGGGGATTTCCCCACTTCCTAGATAAAGTCTGAAGCTGCTGTAAATTTCTATGAAATTGTTATGACATAACTAAGGGCATCTCTGAACAGTGCCAGCATAGGATGAAGACTTGACGCTAGAGGAGAATGGGGCTTTTTAGTTGGCTTTTGTAAGATGCCATCTTCTTAATGTATTTGACTTGAGCACCAAGCAAAATAGAGTTCCAGGATCTCGGATGAGGCAAACATTTTAGATATTAATGAATGAAATAGCAGGTATATACATGTTGACTCATTAATTTATTCTTCATATATATGTTTGGGTTGTATTCTATTGAAGAAAAAAAATATCTGTCAGAACTGATGTAGCCTGGACATGGTAAAATGGGGCTGGCTGCCTTCTTCGTCCCTTTTTCATCTCCCTAGCCAGAGTAGGTCAGATGCCCCATCTGTGTTTGCTGTTGATGGAGCATGGCAGGACCTGAGGGCTCCTGGGCAGCCCGGCTGTCCACTCCTCTTTGAGTACTGCAGCATAAATCACCAGCGACCTGTCACAGCATCCATTTCCCACCCAGCAGCAGTTGCCCTCTGAGTTATGAAGCAAGTGAAACAGCCACCACATGTGTTATATGTGAATATATTAGGCTTAGTGCTATTGCTTTAATGCTCTTAAAAGCTAGGCTGGCTTGGGTTGCTGATAGGCATTTTTTTTCTGGAGAGAGATTTATAACTTCTCAGTGTGTATGACTTACGTTCATTCTCTGGCAGGTTAACCTCTCAGCAAACTTCTTATTATTTTCATTGAAGACGGAGCGCTTTAATCGGATCTCAATTGCCGAGAGAAGCCTGCTGAAAGTTTGTCCTGCAGGACAGGGAGTCTGCAGGCTGGAGTCTGGTTTTCTCAGCCAATGGGGAGCTGGTCCAGAGATTGGGGAGGTGATTTTGGGGTGGAAGGGGATATTTTTACTTTTTTTCTGGAGAAGTCAGGGATGACACTGCATCTTCCAAGGGGATCCCAGCACTCTCGTTATCCTCAAACACATCTTTTGTGAGAGGAGATATTTCTTCCTCTCCAGCTTGCGTTTCTTTTCTCGTGCATCCAGTCGTCTCTGAGTCTGCAAACTTGCCCGTGCTTTGCCCCCCGGGATGTTTCCTGCTGCAGGCACTGGGGTCTCCTCGCACTGTCTCCCTCCTCTGGAAACAAGCCCTGATTTACATCTTGACTTCCCAGCCAAACGCCTAGCTTTAGGTGCTGCCTCCTGTTCGCAGGCAATGCTGCAGTTTCTGAGCAGAATATTTCTTTCCATGGAAGCCTGTGCCCTAAGATGACATTTAAAAGTAAATGTGCTTACTGTTTCTTTGGGGAATTTGCCATCCTGAACTCTGCAGGTGAACCTTCTTCCTTACGCTTCTACCAGACAGGATAACTCTATTAGAAAAGAAGGCAGTTGTTCCAGGCATTTTCTTAAATGAAAACACAGTTGTGCAGGCACAGAGAAGAGAGGGTTTCCACCCTCCACTGCTGCCTCCCCAGATGGATGACTTTGGGGTGAATTAAGATTGTGCTAATTTCATAGAGACTTCTGGAAACCTTAGTGGTTTCACTGGTGAGTGAGCTCTACTTGCCTGGCTTTAGCTCTTCCTACTTGGCCTGTATGCTCTCAGCAACTCGCTACACATTAGGACCACGTTGCTCTGTTTAGGTATTTGTTGCACAGCTACCAGTTCCAATGATACCTTTTTGATGGATTAATCTACCTTAGATGATAATCTCTTAGATGAACTGTATTATGTAAATTTTGGGAACCTTCCTGTTGCCTGAGTATAAAGAATAATGACATAAGTCCACTGAGGATTACTTGATTAATTAACTAAAGATAAAAAGTCACTTGGTTCTGGAAAAGTACTGTAATCCCTAACGGAGAGTGATAAACACTATGCACATTTGCAATCCATTAAATGTAAACGTGGAATCATCATCTTTTTTTTTCCTGTTTTTTTCATTATGATGATCCAGAGAAGGATTGAAGAGCTTCATGAATTGTCACAATAGTTCGTTATACCTTAATGAATTGTACGTAGCCTGGGATCTCAGTAACTTTTTTTTTTTTAAAGATTTTTATTGGGGAATTGGGGGATGGGAACAGTGCTGGGGAATTGGGGAAAGGGGAACAGACAANCTAGAGATCATCTAATTCAGTGATTTCCAGTCATTGGCCAGTGGCCTCGTCGTCAGCACTAGGCTTCCTTCATAAAATTTCTTAGGATGTTTTATGAAAGTGTAGATGCCCAGACATCACCTTGAGGAGATAATGATTCAGTACATGTTGGACAGAGCTCATGAAGCTGTATTTTTAAGAAACACCTCTGATGACTCTGAGGTGCAATGCCACTCTGGAACCACCGATGCGGTCATTTCCCTTATGTTATAAATGACCTTGACCAAGGTCAGAAGTGGGCTAAAGCCCAGTCTCTAGACTCCTAGGCCAGCTTCCCATCTCTCACCTTAAACTGCATTTCCAC